TTTTTTTTTTTTGTACCAGGGATTGAACTCAGGACCTTGCACTTGCAAGGCAGGCAGTGGCAACACTGAGCTAAATCCCCGGCCCTCTAGAAATCTATTAAACATGCCTATTTTCTATTGTATCTGATAATTTCATTATATGCAGGAGTTTTATGTCTGATTCTGTCATTTATTATTTAGTGGCTCTTGCTCTTCCATGTGTACTTAAAATTATTGTGATGTGAATTGCTCATTTTTCATGCAACTTCATATCTAGGTTTCACTAGGGCCTGGAATGAAGGGGAAATTCTCTTAAGGGGACTGTTTTGCTTCTCTGAGGTGACTGAAAACATTATCAATTTAGGATTAGAGTCTCTGCTAGGTATTTTATTCAGGTAGTGTGTAGCTGGGCTGCAAAACCAACCAAGGGTCTACTCTGATTATAAATTCTCGGTATTTTTTTACTACTCTGCTTAGGATAAACTTTTATTTTGGATTCATCATTATACTGAAAGTATAACTTTTTGGGGACCAACCTTTACGGGAGACATTGCCTGTAAAGTGCTTTACCTTGGGAGTCTTTTGAGGCAATAAAAACTTACAGTTAGGCTCACTGGATCATTAAATGGTGTTGAGGTAAATATCCTTACATTCTTTCTAGCTCATGGATGCATTTAAGATTTAAAAAACTTTATACAGTACATGTAATTTTCCACAAAGGAATATTTTCTAGAACTAGTCTACTACATTACCAGAAAGGGAAGTCCTAACTGGTTAGTGTGAGGAATGATTTACAATTGAAAGCTTCTTGTATTGACCATTCATGAATTTCTGTATCAAGCCCACATGGGGACACTGACTTAAGGTATCAGTGTTCTGTGACTGGATTCCATTTGCTATTGTCTTATTTGGAATTATGACTATTCTTTTTTTTAAAAAAAAAATGAGTTTGGACTGTGTATTTTAGCACTGTATCAGGTTTTGTTGAAGTTATGCATTTCTGGCTAGCTTCATAAAGAGAATGTTAATTTTTGTTGCTTTTGTTCACTGGGTTTCACCTTGAAATTTCTCTCTCTGGTGTCTTTTCCCCTCTCCCCTCATGTTGAGCCAGAGCCCTGCAGATAGGGGAACTTAGGTGTCCTCTTTCTCTTTAGAGCTTCCTTCAGACTCCTACCCAAGTCTTTAAGGAGCAACTCGTTTAACTGTAGTGGAGGAAACAAATTTCAGTTCAGTTCTTCCCTCGTTACATCTCTGAGGATCCCTCCCAACTTGATACTGCTGCTCTAGCTGGTCTTCCTGTCCTAAATTCATTCGTCAACTGTTTATTGAGCACCTATTTTGTGGCAGGCACTAGGGAATGTTAAACTGTATGAGATTAAATTCCCATTCTTATGAAGCTTATTCGTTGTGTGTTGTGGTGGGGTAACAAAGAAATATGTACAATATATGGTTATGCCAGATGGTAACCAGAATGCAGTGGAGAAAAAGGGAGGCATTTGTAACTTTCTAGTTTGTTTGGGTATTTGCAGGTCCATGCCCCCTCTCCTACCCTATGAGTTCTTAAAAACTGTTTAGAAAAAATTTACCCTTTTTTGTGCAATTATTCTCCATCAGCTTGTCAAAGTTTTGAACTGTACATTATTGGTAGGGTTTTAATGGAGATCATGCCGAATTTGTAGATTTGGGTCTGGCATGACTGAGTTGCCCATTAGCAAAGACAGCATTTTCTCTGTAAACTCAGGTCTTTTCTTTCTTTTTTTTTTTTGTATTAAATTCTTTTATTGGTACATTGTAGGTATACAACACAATTACATTTCTCATTGGGAATTG